CCCCCCCCCCCTTCCCACTCCTTTTAAAGTCATAAATCCATCTTGACAGGAATAGCTGGAGGAGAGGCACAAACAGCACCCCTGCTGCTGTTCCTCTCCCGCCTTCAACTTGCCCCAGGAGCGCGGACTGAACTGCAGGCAGTCTGCACGCAGCTGGGCTGGTTTGAAAAATACAACCCTATCGATAAAACTTTGGCCCCGCAAGACGCCGGGCAGCAGGCCAGCTACCGGGGGAAAAAAAATAAAAAAAAGAAAAGAAGAAAGCTCCCAGAAATCCAAAGCTGCTCTGCTCTGGAATGAACTAGAAGGAGGAAAAACACGTATATAGAGGAAAGAAAAAGTAGAAGGGCTTGGGAGCGTGCCCTGCCCAGGGAATATTGGCTAATCTTCTGGGAGGAGGCAAGCTGAGCGTTCCCCCAGGTCCTAGCGCTGCCTGGGCTGCGTCCCTTCCCCTGGGCTGCCCCACGGCCAGACACGAGGGGACAAACCCATGCCATGCTTCACCCCGGAGAAGAGCTGGTGCAGAAGTCACCAAGAAAGGCAGAGCCTGCGAGGTGGGGAGCGTCGGCCGCGTCGCAAAGGGCACGGAGCAATATTTCCCGGGGAGGTGGTACCTGTGCCAGCCTGCTGCCTGCCCGCCGGTCACCCATCTCCCTTCGGCGGGGCGTTAAATACATTCTCGGGTCTGGGACTTCTGAGTCAAAGCAGACTCACACGCCTGAAGATAACCCCGTGACACACATCTTACCGGACGGAGGGGCAGAAGAGTTTGGCAGAGAGCGTACACCGGATCCCGCAGGTTCAGCCTTCACTGGCTTGCAGCTTCTCCATTTCCCCTGCCTGCAGGAGGCTTCTGGCAGAACACAAGCCAGACCAAACCTCGTTTCCTTCTCGTGGCTGTCCTGATGTCCTCGTATCTGCTCTTGCCTCCTACTCATCAGGTAGAGGTGGTGATAGCCCCATTCCCTTTTTTCACTTCAAGTTTTAACATGTGCTGTTCTGGGCAGATCCAAGGCGTTACGAGTGGAGAGAAGCTGGAAAGTTACACCTAATTATGAAGAGACCAATCAGTCGTCATCGCCCTTAACATGGGGAGTGACCAACAAGACAGGCTAAAAAGTAGCCAAGGAGGAATGCTTAGAAGCCTGTGGGATTTCTGAAACTGGTGAGCAATATTTCCTCCTGTTTGATTCGCTCTCTCCTGGGAACTATAAAAAAAAATTAAATGAATGGGAGTTAGGAGCCAAGGAGCTGTGCAGGGTGGAAAAAACGTTGTATTCGAACTCATCGACCACATGGAAAGTCAGAACAGGCTCAAGAAATCAGATGCAATTGAGAAGTCACGGATTCAGTCAGCTAGTTAAGCCTCCTGGGCACTTGTGCGTGCTCCCCCTCCCAGTTTGGTACCCAGCTGCATCGCAGAGGAGCTTCGCAATGGGAGGTTGTACGATACCTCAGTCCCACGGAGCATAGCCCTGTATGAGCTACAGCCTCACCCGCCAATTCACACGGGCTGGAATAAGCATTATCCCAGGTACTCAAGAGACTCGGACACCCCTGCTCTCGTACTGAGAGCACGTAACTTGTGAGCTCCCCTCGAAGATGGCATCTGGATCCTGGTGCAATGGCTGTGGGGACCGAGTGCTGTTGCTGGCCGGTTTCCCTGACACGTAGAGCAGGGTTTCTTAATGTTACAGCCACTGAAATAAGTGTGGACATCAGATGCTGAGTTATGTCTGACCAGAGGCACAGTGGGCTTGATTGTTGCCCCTTGACATCAAGGGCAGACTTTTTTCTCTCTGACTCAGAGCGGTTTGGGCCTCTCCCCGTCAGAGCTGTCCCGATTTAACAGCGTTGGTGGTGCAGCCCGTAGGAGGTGAAGGGACCCGAGCAGCAAAGCTGTCCGGCTGCAGCCTCATTCAGCAAGCAAGCTTCCAGGGAGACATTACACATCAGAGCAAATCACACCGTGGTCTAATTCATTGATCTGAGCAAATCCATCAATTCTCACTGTGCAGATTCACATTCAGTTCAACTGCTGATGTATTGGCCGTGGTGGCAGCCAAGGCAGCTAAAGGCTTTCCAAACCACTGTTGAGCGAAGCACTTGTTCAGTCGCACCCTTCTCTGCTGGTGAGCGTGTCCTACCTGCTGTTCTCACACTGGTTGTATTCTGGACCTGGGACAGGGAAGGGATGGGCTGGAGGGAGCCAAGTGTTGCCCCAGTGCAAGCCCTCTGCTTCTCACCCGCTAACCCAGCCATCCGTCCGCATCCCGACCTGCTCAGAGCGGGCGACTGCAGAGACAGCGGGCGAGAGACGCTACGGCTCTGCTTCCAGGCTCACGGCTGCGTGTGCAGAGCCCCTTGACTAGGGCCGGTGGGCATATGGAGACAATTTCCTTCGTTACTCACTTCCCAAGGAAGTCTTTGCACGGAAGCATTGCTCATTGTAGAATAATTCCCCTTTTTGTCGGTTTATCCATGTAAACGCCATTCAGTCTCACACCCTGGAGCGATTTCAGCCTTTATCTCCCTGCGAGTCCTGCTGGGACAGGTGGAAGCAGGAAAAGACAGCCTGGAAAATAATTAGATCTCAGATAATTTTGCTTTATTTTTAAACTTTACTGTAATTGGCAGATCCTGTTTCCAGTAAGGCTGGTGCATGCGCACGCAGATTCTTTCCTGGTCGCATCCTGCGCTCTGAAGCCAGCAGTATCGCTCCAGATTTGCTCCTGTTTAAACATGACCAGAATCTGGCTGCAGAGCTCAGCTTCGGCTCGGCTCCCTGTGACTGCTAAGCTCTCCTTCTCCCCCTGTCATCGACCTGACTGAAATTCACTCCGGATGATCATCATCTTACCACGCCAAGCTACGGAACAGCTCAGGATGGCAGCCAAGGCAGCTAAAGGCTTTCCAAACCACTGTTGAGCGAAGCACTTGTTCAGTCGCACCCTTCTCTGCTGGTGAGCGTGTCCTACCTGCTGTTCTCACACTGGTTGTATTCTGGACCTGGGACAGGGAAGGGATGGGCTGGAGGGAGCAAGTGTTGTCCCAGTGCAAGCCCTCTGCTTCTCACCCGCTAACCCAGCCATCCGTCCGCATCCCGACCTGCTCAGAGCGGGCGACTGCAGAGACAGCGGGCGAGAGACGCTACGGCTCTGCTTCCCTGCTCACGGCTGCGTGTGCAGAGCCCCTTGACTAGGGCCGGTGGGCATATGGAGACAATTTCCTTCGTTACTCACTTCCCAAGGAAGTCTTTGCACGGAAGCATTGCTCATTGTAGAATAATTCCCCTTTTTGTCGGTTTATCCATGTAAACGCCATTCAGTCTCACACCCTGGAGCGATTTCAGCCTTTATCTCCCTGCGAGTCCTGCTGGGACAGGTGGAAGCAGGAAAAGACAGCCTGGAAAATAATTAGATCTCAGATAATTTTGCTTTATTTTTAAACTTTACTGTAATTGGCAGATCCTGTTTCCAGTAAGGCTGGTGCATGCGCACGCAGATTCTTTCCTGGTCGCATCCTGCGCTCTGAAGCCAGCAGTATCGCTCCAGATTTGCTCCTGTTTAAACATGACCAGAATCTGGCTGCAGAGCTCAGCTTCGGCTTGGCTCCCTGTGACTGCTAAGCTCTCCTTCTCCCCCTGTCATCGACCTGACTGAAATTCACTCCGGATGATCATCATCTTACCACGCCAAGCTACGGAACAGCTCAGGAACAGTTAACAGTTCTTTGTTAAAAGAAATACCAATTAAAAAAAAAACAAACACAAGTGAAAGCCACCAATACACCGTATTTTGATTGCGATATTGCTAAGACTGAGACATATCTGCACATATAGTGTGCAGCACAAACCCTGGGCACTGCATTCTGTGCATGCGAAGGCTTCGGTGTGAGCTGCAGCTGCCGGGACAGCCTGGGGACGTAAACAATAAGCAATTTCTGAAGAGATGCAATATCCTCTCTGAGACAAATTACCACAGCTGGAACAAAGAGGCTTTTGGGAACACAGCTTTTTTCAGCTCCACATAACAGTTTTTGTTTGGAGGGGCCATCTATATATGGAAATTTGGAAATTCCCCACTTGGAAAGGAAGCAAAGCAGCTCTGCGGCGCTGGAAGAAGGATGCGGGTGAAAGCTCCCCCTCGAGCTCCAGGCAAGGCTCGAGCAGCATGGCAGGCAGATACCCAAGGTGCCAGTAATCCCACCAGACTGTGTGCCCCACGGTGCCAGGCTGGGAGGCCAGTGCTCTGCCAGCTCACGCCGACACAGCAGCTCCGTCCGGACGCCGTTCTAAACAGCCACAGGCTGCACGGCTGGGGAAGTGAACTCCACCGACTCCAGAAATGCCATTGGGACTTACAGCAGAGAGGATCAGGCCCTGCCTTGCCAGTTCTCAGTTACCAGTGTGTCATGCAGTCTCCAGCCTCCAGTCAGCTCTTATTTTTGTTTGACTTGGAAGACAAACTACAAAAATAGACATGTTTACTCCCTGCATTCAGCAGTTTTGTTTTTCTCAAAAGTTGCCCAGGGACTAGGAATGACTCCGCAGTGAGGTAAGGTCTAGCTTATAGATGATCTCCTTCACCCCAAAGCATCCTGAAAAGACACCCAGCACAAAAATACAGCCACTTCTGGGGGGAAGTGCAGTAGCTTTTCAGCTATTTGTATTACACTAAAGTTTAGGATACATAAAAAAAAAAAATTGTAGAACAGATCTACTCCGGAAGAATGCAACCACCCAAATCAGAGCAGTGTCAGGATACTGGGAAAGGCTGCTTCCCATCCTCATATTGAGGAGCTGGCTGCAGAGTTATCCAGACCCTCTTAAAAATAGCCTGGTAATGTCCAGCAATAAGAAAATTCCGCTTCAGAAACAGTACCATGGCTGGGCACTCTTGCT